GGGACAGGACGCGGGGGTGCGGGGGTTAGGCTCGATCAATGAAGCCCGACCGCGCGCCACTCCGTCGTCGGAATCGCAGAGCGGCGCAAAACCGCGAAATCTGGCATACGGACAGACAGATCAACCCCCCGGCGTAAAGCGGCATCGTCAACTACCCTGCCCGCGGTGGCACTCGCGGACAGTGCGGCCCTTTCTCAGACTTCATTTAGCATCCTACGCCGCTGCCCATAGGGCATAGCGAGTACAGCGAGAGTCACGCTGCTGCGCATGCGCACAGAGGGGAGGGCCCGGGCCAATCCGGAAGGAGGAAGGGAATCACTTCCGGCGAAGGGTTGGGGGAGCAGGGGGAGGGCCGGGGCGAGCCAACCAGGCCGCCGGGGGCGCGCCGAGGGCGCACCAGATTTAGCAGAATCCGAGTCAAGGCTGTATTGTATTGCTTTCGTCAAAACCCACTCTGGTGAGAGGAGAGCAAAGGGGGAGGGCCGTTGCCTAGTGCTGGCTGGGAGATGGATGGATGGGGCACGTTTTGGGGGCGGTGGGCAGCCACACAAGAGCTCCGCGCTGCGGAGTAATCAGTGCTTTATAATCACAGATTTTGTCGAGTATTCGACAGTCGTAGCTGTTGCTGTGCTCCCCGCACCAGAGTACCCCGTCACGGACAAGGCGGGACATGACAGCCACAACGTCTGGCCATTTCAGTTTAGGCAGTTTAGGCAAAGCAGGCGCTCGCACAGCGATAAGCCTTGGGGTGCGACGTCCCAATAAGGTTTGAAAGCCGAATGTGGATAGTCTACCATAGATGCCTAGGATTCGCGCTATAGGCGAATGCTGGGTGAGCGACCAACAGAACCAGAATCCGGCACTCGGCTGGTACTTCCTGCTGGCCGCCGCCGCCGAGGCCGCTCCCCTTTCCCTCCCACGTCCTAGACCACCATCTGGCCTCCTCCTCCTCTCTGCTCCGCTGCTCGATCGCGCTCCCCGTGGGCGCCCAGTGACACCACCTCAAGAGGAGGCCGCCGCCGAGCCGCTTCTTATCGCCCCGACATGACAACGCAGAGCAGAGCGCTAGCAGCGCGACGCCCCTGGCGGCAAGGCCAGGCGGGGCCGTGCGGGGCCAGGTGCACTACAACAAGTGCCCCGCGGGCACGGCGGCCCTGCCCCTGCCGCCCCTGCCCAAGGCCCCAGGGCTCGCCGCCGAGCTCGCCGCCGCAGCGCTTCCTGCCGCGCAGCAGCAGCAGCACCGCCGCAGCGCCCCTCGCGGCGAGCTCGCCAAACTGCGAGTGTAAACACTGCGGGACGGCTCGGCGCGCCGCGGGCCGCGGGGCCTGGCTGGGCTGGGCTGGGCCGCGCCCGCTGGCAGCAGACAGCGGGATCTTTTTCGGTTAACGCAAAGGGACTCGGGCGGGGGTGGAACCGCGGGCATTATCCTCGCCTCCAAAATCGAAACAAGTACTCCCCACGGAGACTATCACCTTGTTGCGCCGACTTTAGCCACCACTAAAACAAGCAAGTCGGAGATCCGCGGTCCGCGAAGCTTGATCAGACGAAGACGTGACAATTAGCTTTGCTCACCTTTGATCGGGGGCAGCTTGACGAGCTCCACGTTCTTGGACGCGTTGAACCGGGAGGAGTTGCGTCGATTGTCCTTCTTGACGTGCGGCGAGGTGCTGGACAGCTTGTTGATGGGCACCGGGGGCGGCGGTCCGTGCGGAGGTCCGTGCGGGGGGCCGTGGGGCGGTAGCTCGGCCCCCACCGGCCCACCCGAGGGCGGCGACGTCGACTTGACCTGAAGAACAAGACCACAACTTTAGCCTTCGCGGTTCCGAATCCAGCGATCGATCATCTGCCGCCGTGTGCCAGTGTGCCAGTCGTCTACTGGCATCCCACCCGAGCCGACGACTCGGAAGACACCGCACCTGTATCAGTACCACCTGGGTGCGGCCTGCACGGCACCCGACTTTTTCATACCAGCTAATTGTCATTCCAAAGTCGGCACCGACGCCGACCCGCGACAAGTAATCATCATCAGCTACACACGCAACTTTGGCCGCCGCAGCGGCAGCGGCGGCGGCGCCACAAGGCGCTCCGAACCCGACGAATTTTTTCCCCCACCTCGAAGTAGAACCAATATCCTTTCCTCGTTTTTTCCCCCGCTAGGCGCGGTGCGTCTCTGCGCCTTATTGTCACGGCTGTGGCGGACCCCCGAGGGGTAGGCAGCCGCGCGCGGCCGGCGCACGGGTGCTT